AAAAACGTTTATTACGAACCAAAAATGTGTTTTACGACAGCGAGATATTACACCATGTCCTACTAACTTAAGATTAATTTTACTATGTCGAATGCGCAGCTTATATAGAGTAATAATGCAGCATCGACATTTATCCTTAAAATATACAGTGGGCTTTATAAGTGGTCATATAACTGTACGATCGCCTCTGATGACGATAGGCAGAGTTTGGCGAAAATCGCCACCAAAAAGAAAAACTTTGTTACCAAAGGAGGCCAGATCACTGCCTGTTAAATCGCGCATGTATCGATCGACAGCATCGAGGGCGTATCTGGAGGTCATTGAGACTTCGTCCCACAGCAGACCTAACATATCGATAATCTTCGTAAGCGCTTATTTCGTTCCCATTTAGAAAAGTTTAATTATGCGATATTTCAATTTGACACATATCCACGTCTTTCGTAACATATTTATATTTGATAGATATTTGACAGAAGCAAGCGATCCCACACCTTCAAAATTGATATGACATCGATATTTTAGAGCGGCAAACGGATTATAAGGAACAACATCCCGATTTGTACAAGAAACGCCATTTACTGTAATTTGCGGCCCATCGTGCGGTCGTCGATAGTCCGGCCTGCCATCTTTTGTGCTGGTCAACTGATAATTTAGTATCGTGACGGTACAATTTAGGAAAACCTTTCGAGCAACGACCATTTTAGATGCAAGCTGCCTCTCTCGATCCCTCTTGTCCAGAACATTTCCGGTGCAGATAATTTTCGGCCTCTCTTCCATATAGCATTGGTTCACTATCCACATCCGCAATGGTTGATCGAATAATTTCATTGACCTTTTCAGCACTGTCGAGTTTGTCACGATGATGTAACGTGATCAAAAGATGAACGTGCGGGAGCCCTCGTTTTTGAAATTCCACCACGTAAAAATAATTTTGAACAGTCCCATCAAATTGTTTGTTGATGATGTCGTCAAGAAATTCCAAAAATTTAGTGTGCGGTTTTGCCATTTTTGTTTGTATAAAAGATTGGTGGCAATTTTGCGCCATGTTGGGTTGCAAGTAAATGTGATAAACAAATCGGGTTTGCCATGACCTGCTGCAATAATCATAGCATCTAAATATTGCCTTTTCTGGTACCGATGGAAACCTGGAGGTAATATTTGAAGTGTCCCTACTCGACAATTACTGGACTTCGAGCCCGCCGCTCTAAATAATTTAATAAATTTGGATATCCGGGCTGACGGATTGCATGTTGGATTTATACCACCAGAGCTCGTTGGATTCAATTTTCACGTATGCATCGACAAGATATTGTTGGAAAAGCTTGCCGGCATTATGCAATACCGAAAATTCATAAGTCACCGATTCGCTGTAAGTGTTACGATTGGGGGGGTAGATTTCAGATATTTGTTGAACGCAACATGGTTTCAATCTGACGAATTGCGCGACGATCAACACGGTCACCCAAGAAATAATTGCGTCGACTTACGGCATCGACCACGTCCAAGAAATAATATTGCGCTCCCATATAAACTGGATCACTGACATTAATTG